GGTCTTCATAATTTAAAAAAAAAAAAAAAGATTTTTTTTTAAAGTTTTAGATGGACACAATACCTTTATTTTTATTTATTTATTTTTTTGTGGTGCTGAGGATCAAACCCAGTGCCTCACATGTGCAAGGCAAGTCCTCTGTCACTGAGCCACAATCATTCATATACATATATATTTAAGGCAGAGAGGACTATTCTAGACTGAAAGGACACAAGATACATTATGAATATTGATTAGATCCTGAAATGAACAACTTGGCCATGCCAGACAGATATAAGTCAAATGAGCAAATTTAAGCATGGATTACATATATGCAATGAACTACTAAATCAAGGCATATTCACACATACAAATACATATATATGTGAGTACACACTTTTTTTTGGAGGGGGGAAGTGCTATGGATAGAACCAGGGCATTGTGTATACTAGGCAAGTTCTCGACCACTCAGCCACACCCCAAGTCCAGGGATAACAATCTTAAAAGTATTAATGTTAGGGCTGGGGTTATGGCTCAGCTTGCCTAGCATGCATGATGCACTGGGTTCGATTTAAGAAGAGTCTATCAACAAACTTAAAAAAAATCTTTTTAAGTGATAATGTTAGAGAGGAGGGTCTTTTAAGCTTAGGGACACATGCTGAGGATTTTGATAGTGAGGTGACATGGCATCTGCATTTTGCTTTCAAGTTTTTTATTTTAGTTGTAGTTGGACACAATACATTTTATTTTTACGTGGTGCTGAGGATTGAACCCAGGGCCTTGCACGTGCTAGATGAGCGCTCTACTGCTGAGCCACAACTCCAGCCCTTAAAGGTTTAACAACAATAAAAATCAGAGGGAGAAAAGGACAGACATGGAGAAATGTTAACCACCTGAATACCAGATGATCCTTGTACAACTCTTAACAACTTTTTAGTAGGAACTATCTTGAATTGAAAAGTTTGGGGAAAAAGAAAACAGTCATGAGTGTTCACACTTAAAGGTAATGTCAGACATTCAAATGAAGGGAAGGGAGACCAAGAATACAGCTGGTGAAGCTAACAGTGATAACCAGCTCTCTAAGAGCACTTCTGTGGACTGAGTACCATGACATGTGTCCTGTGTATGGGTCTCTCCAAGCCCTCATGGCCCGCTAAGATGCAAGGTCTGTTGTCACCTTGTTCCACAGATAAACAGATGACAGAGCAAAGATTCTAACCCAGCTGGACTGTAAATCGGACACTGTTAATACTTCAAAAGGCCTCTTAGCTATTCTGCTTCTTAATTTTAAGCACATCAGGAGAAAATGCTACATGGTTAAACAATCTGTGCAATTGTCATTCTTGTTGGGGCAGTAATGGCAATGGAACCCAAGGCCTCCTGTGTGCTAGGCAAGCACTCTACCACTTAGTTACACCCCAGTCCTTGTGCTGTGGTCACTTACGCAACATTACACAGCAATGCATAAGGCAGTCAAGTTTTCCATATTTTCAAAGAAGCTGTAGGAGATGAACATATTTAATTTTTGTTTGCCAATTATAGTAAATAATTTTGTTCAAAAAAGTCATGCTTGGGCTGGGGCTCAGTGGCACTGGGTTCACTGTGAGGCACTGGGTTTGATCCTCAGCACCACATAAAAACGAATAAACAAAGATATGGTACTATCTATAACTAAAAAATATTAAAAAAAAAAAAAGCCATGCTTGCCTGGGAGCAGTGGTACACACATGTACTCCTAGTTACTTGGGAGGCTAAGGCAGGAGGATGGCAAGTTGCCTGGGCAACTGCAAGACCCTATCTCAACATAAAAAAAATAAGAAGGACTGGCAGAGTGCCCCTGGGTTCAAGTGGAGGAGAATATGTTTCCACAATGTATTTAACATCTGAGGAATATGACCACAAAACAATGTCTTATGTAAAATGCAGGCATAATAGTTATGGAGTGGGCTGGAGGGGTCAGGAGCATGATATGCACCTGGCAGACAACCAGGGATCATGAAGCAGTTTTCCAGAAGAGAATGGACTGAGGGAGTAATGATAGGACAACAGAAATAAAGTAGAGGGGGAAAGTCAAGAGATGAAAAGTAGATGTGACATACTTGGGGCTTGATCAGATGAATCTGAGATGACCTTGATGCTCCTAGCATTCTGGGGCAGTGAAACAATCCAGCTGGGCTTTTTTTTTGTACTGGGGATTGAACCAAGGGTCACTTAACCACTAAGCCACATCCCCAGTCCTTTTTTATTTTGAGACACTACGTTGCTTAGAGCCTCAATAAGTTGCTGAGGCTGGCCTTAAACTTACAATCCCCCTGCCTTATTAGCCTCCTGAGTTGCTGTATCACCACATCAAGCCTAGTTGGGCTTTAAGAGGAATAGCTTAGTGGGTGGCTGGAGGAGGGGGAGGGCAGGGTGAACAGGTCTTTAGAGCTAAAAGGATTCACAATTAGAATAGCAGGGAGAGGTGTCACCTCATCAGAGGATGCACAGATCTAATCATGCTGAGTTGAAAGTTGGAGAAGCCGGACAGGCAAGGCAGGTCAACCCACCAGTACACTCAGCTAGAGGGCAAGTGGGGAGCACAACACCCCATGCCACTGCCACTACTTAAGGAGGCTCAGAGGCTCCCAGTGAGAAGTATGAGCTCTTGACAGAATACTACTAATCAATGCAGGAATTTAGAAAACTCTAGTGATCACTGTACCAGCAAGTCATGGCTGGATGCTCAAACTAGTGGGTCAGGGCTGGGGGTGTAGCTTAGTAGCAGAGTGCTTGCCTAGCATGTGGGAGGCCCTGGGATCCATTCCCAGCACCTCCTGTCCCCTCAAAAAAGAGCAAATCAAACTAGTGGGTGAAAGTATTAGGAGAGATCTACTACTTATACAGTCTCTAAGCAGCTCCCTACTAATTACCCTTTGGGTCTAAGGGGAAATGAGCAGCTATCCAGTGTAGCAGCCTGGCAGACACCACCTTCTTCAACTGATCAAAGTGAACAGCTTCAGGGATAGGAAAAACAACATCACATACCTCCTGATGTGATGCACTGGGAAGGACCCAGCACCGCTACCTGCTGTTCCTGCCCAAAGCACAAAACCAAATTTAATCATGAGAAAACACCCAAAGGAAAGAAAACAAAAGCCAAGTTGAAGGACATATACCAAAAAATTGACCAGAATTCTTTAAAATGAACAAACTGCTCCAGATCAGAGACTAAAAAGATTTAACAACTACATGTAACATGAGGGTCAAATTAGGACTTGAACCAAAATAATTTTTGTATGCTGCTATGAAAGACATTACTAATGAAATGAAAATATCTAAAGATCACAAACAAGATTAGTACTGAATTAACTTCCTAATTTTGATAATTGCTTAGTAATTGTATAAGAGAATATTTTCAGGAATAATCACTCAAGTATTTGGAAAACAAGGTGCATCATATCTGTGACTTTCAAACATTTTATAGAGAGAACCATAAAAAAAAAGAGAGATACACAGAAAGGATGACATAGCAAATGTGATTAAATTAACATTTAGTCAGGTTGGGAGTAATAACTTACAATTTGTACAGTTATCAAGTATTTCAAAATAAAAAAGTTAAGGGGAAAAAGGTGTCTCACCTCCCGCCATGAAAATGACCCAATCTCTGAAGTGCAGGAGTGGCTTCAACCACTCTAATTTGCTTTCTGAAGATTTTATCCTTGTCTGAGTGGAAGGTGCCAGGAAAAAAACTGATATGAAACCAGCGTCAAGGGATGGACACTGAGAAGGTTTTGGGTACAGAATGGACTAAGCGAGGCCACAGATCTGCTTGTTAACCTAGCATGCTTATCAACCCTAGGTGCCTGTCACATAGAAAATCCAGGAAACAACCACAAAGTCTTTGGTGAACTTCAACTTGAAAACTATCTTCCCTGATTTAGCACTTCCTAAGCAAATATTAACACTGTCACTTCAGTTTCACAGGCTGCTGCTGAAGAGATTGGCAGAGGCTGGTGGGCTATCTATATCACATGGTACTTTATATCATTACAGAAAACACTGGCATTAGAAAGAACATTGAAAGAAAAGTACTTACCCTTTTCAAATTAATATAAACTTGTATTTTTTGAGTTTAAACTTTTGAACCTAGGATTACTTAACCACTGAGCCACATCCCAGCCCTTTTCATCTTTTATTTTAAGACAGGGCCTTACAAGTTGCTGAGGCTGGCTTTGAACTTGCAATCCTCCTGCCTCAGCCTCCTAAGTCACTGGTATTATAAGCATGTGCCACCACTAAAGCTCAAATATTGATACTCAGGAACCCACACAAGCAAAAGGAGCCAGCAGAAAATCAGGGAACAAGTGGTGTGAAAAATCGAGGTCAAAGAGACATGGGCGCTCTAAACAAATTGTTTTAACACAAATAAAATCTAGTCATTTCAAGGACATTGAAGAAAATTTTAAGACAGTCTGCATTTGTGATAACTCCAAGTTGTCAATGTGGCTGAAATTCAGCAGCATGAGCACAAGTTATCCAAGCATTCTGTTTTCTTCTGAAAAAACATCCTATTGATACACAATTTTCAGATACTTATTCAACAATGCCAAAGGTTGTAATATTTACAATGATGCATGAACCAAATGTATGATGTGTCCAGTATAATACAGAGAATATGATGATAAATATGACTCTTTCCTTGCCCTGAAGGAGCTTTCAGATCTACAGGGGACACAGGCAGGCAAGTGACAGCAGTGCTATATACTCTGGCTGGGTACAAAGTTGGCCAGAGGAGAGACCTACCCCATCACATTGCAGTCCTGAAGCCAAAACAGCTGCCAAACACTGAGCACACAACAGCTTCGCAGCTGCATGAAAATGGAAGACCCAGTCTGACAGCTGTCAGGATGCTGGGCTCTTTCTCCTGAAGCATTTCACACAAAATTTTATCACAGCTTCCAGAAACTCCAGAAGGCCCAGCTCTCAGAAAATTTCCTGTAGACAGTGAAAGGTCTTGTATGCTGCAAAGTCAGACTCACCTGTAGCTTCAATGTACTCAATGCACCTTTCAATAAAAATGGGGATCGGCTTCTCTGGAGTTACGACAGTTGTTAAGGGCACCCCAAAGTAGTTACTCTCCCAGGTTGCCTTTGTGATGGACGGTCGAGGTTTGGGCTTTGGTTTCTGTCAAAGAAAAAGGAAGCACAAAAATAAAGTGAGTATTGTCATATATCAGTAAGGCTTCTAGAGAGGAATGCACAGTGGGGTAGAAACTGATGGAAAGATTGCAAGTAAGATAAAAAGACCCACTTGCTCACCTCACTAATACCAGACAAGGTGCCAGAAAGTTGCCATATAATCACACCTTGAGTGTTGAAACCACTTTATTAGAACAAAGATGTTTATAAGAAGCAGGCCAAGTTTATTTAATAAAATAACAAAAGATGACTATCCACATCCTTTATCAGGGATGCACTGGAGTAAACAGGAAGTTTTCCAAATAGTCCACATGGATAAAGTTGTTATGTACTCAGAGATGGCTAAAACCTTCAAAAGATAAAAGCTAGATCAGAGAACTAATAATTTCTTCTTTTCAGAAAAGACACATAGCGTACACTCTGCTAGGGCTTACACCCCCAAGTAAGAATTCTTTGAGAATTACACCCCAAAATAATATTCTTTGAGAATATCCTGTGCAAATATCCTATCCTTTGAGTACCAAGTACCAAAAAAAAAAAAAAAAAAAGGACAAAATGCACACTAATACTTTAGATTAGGGTGATTTCCTAGTGGTTTCCACATAAGAAAATGGTAAAGCCAACTAATAGAATTACTTTACTTTGTCGTGTTTTTTTTTTTTTTTGTCTGTTCTTTCCCAAAGTCATCTTCTTTATGAAGTAGTAACAGTAGCAGCAGCAACACCAACTATTTGAGAACTTACTATGTACCAAGCAAGTTCCAAATTTTATTTTTAAACTTTACAAGATTCTGTTTTACAAAGGAAATGTTTCAGGTGTCTAAATAACATAAAGAGTAAGTGGCAGTGCTTGGGACTCAAACCCAGAAAGGTCTGTTCAAGTTAATACTGAAATATTCTGCTCCAAAAATTATTCAACCCTTTCATTTTAAAGCTCACATGAGGATGGGACCCTGTTATACACAAATGGTAACTTTCCGAAAGCCATAGAAATGTACTTGACCTATTGTTAAAATATCTACTAAAAAGAGGAGAGTAACCAAATAGGATCAAGATAAACACATCCAGGTGTGTCTTCAGCAATTTGGTTTCCTTTCCAAGTTTATGAGATCAATATAGAAGGGCAGATTTACTTAGAAATGTACACAGGCTATAAACCTAGTTGGGGATTTTACATTAAACCCCCTGGAGGAGACAACTTACTGCCAGGTCATCAGCTGGCCTTTCCCTTTCCTTCTCCTGCCCATTCGCATTCCTTTTAGTACCCTTTATAAGGGAACAAGTCACTTCCTGTTTAGTCTGAGATTCTTCCCCATCACCACTGGCCCCTGCCAAGTACCGGGCATTAAACCCAGAGGTGCTTTACCACTAAGTATAAGGTGGATATTTTTTTAAATTTAATTTTTTTTTAGAGAGAGAGAGAGAGAGAGAGAGAGAGAGAGAGAGAGAGAGAGAGAGAGAGATTTTAATACTTATGTTTTAGTTTTCGGCGGACACAACATCTTTGTTTGTATGCGGTGCTGAGGATTGAACCCGGGCCGCACGCATGCCAGGCAAGCGCGCTACCACTTGAGCCACATCCCCAGCCCTTTAAATTTAATTTTAAAAATTATTTTTCCCCAGTGTTGGGCATCAAACCCAGGGACTCATGTATGCTAGGGAAGTACTCTCCACTAAGCCACATTCCTAACCCAAGTTTTAAAAAATTTGAGACAGGCAATTTGCAATCCTTTTGCCTCGGTTTCCTGAGTATTTTGGATTACAGGCATGCACCACCATGCCCAACTTAATCTGAGATTCTTTGAGAATATTCTGTGCAAATGAGTAGCAAAGAGGAGAACACACCAGGCGTGATGGTGCACACTACAATCCCAGTGACAGCAGCCACGGCAGGAGGATTGCAAGTTCAAGCCAGTCTCAGCAACTTAGTGAGACCCTGACTCAAAATAAAAAAGAAAATGGGCTGGGGACATAGCTCAGTGGTAAAAATGTCCCTGGATTCAATCCCCAGTACAAAAAGAAGAAAAAAAAAAAAGCCCATTTCTGGTCTGCTGGTTGGTAATAGTTCAGAGAATAAACTAAAGGCAAAGAGAAGCCCATCTTCCCACACTCTGCTGAGTGGTTCAACATAGAGGACACTGGAGTCCTGGAGAACTACACTAGCCACAAGGTCTGGCCCTTCCCATTATGATATGTGCACTGCTGGCCAAAAATTGTGATGTGGTGCCTAAATCAAACAGGCTCTGATTTTTACCAAAGAATTAAGCAAAAGAAAGTTAGTGATATATGATCTATCTTTACAGAAGATAATATTTCCAATCTAAACTGTCTAGCATATTCTACTTGTATAAAGCACAACATAAAGAATTTAAGCTTTGGGGGCTGGGGTTGTGGCTCAAAAGCCCTGGGTTTGATCCTCAGCACCATAAATAAATAAATGAATGAATGAATGAATGAATGAATGAATAAATAAATGTATTTTAAAAAAAAGAATTTAAGCTTTGATTTGGGTTTGGTGGTGCACACCAATAATCCCAGCCACTTGGGAGGCTGAGGCTGGAAGATCACAAGTTCAAGGCCAGCCTCAGCAACTCAGCAACTTACAAAAAGGTATTCCAAACAAACAAACAAACAAACAAGCAAGCAAGCAAGCAAATAGATAGAAAGACAGATAAGAAAATGAAAAACATAAGCTTTGAAGTCTAACAGACCTGAGTAAGAATTCTGACAAGTTCTATGAACTGGGTCAAATAATGTGCCATATCCACCTTTGTGAAGTGAGGCTTGGTCACAGGGCAGTCATGAGGGTTAAATGATATGAGGTATGGAAGTGGCTCAGCACCTTGTACATCCAATAAACAAGAGTTCTTATAAAGAACTGAGTCCTTCTGTTGTTACACATTATTGCAACCAGATGCATCAAGTAATCCTCTCACTGAAAAACGTCCCTAACATTTAAAAGGTTAGCTCTAGAGCATGAATAACCAAAGGCAACCATCTGTGTTTAAACAGTGTTCTTCTATTAATCCTGCCAAATTTCCCTGTCAAAACTAAACCAAACAGCATTGTTCTTCAGTAAAACTGATTTCCAAGTAAACTGGTATAAAGGGGGAAAAAATGGAACTAAAGGGAATCTGTGAGGAAGTGCCTCCTAATCAGAAAGCCTCCTAGACAGTTCTAGTAGCCAGCCAAGTTTTCTCATATTTTTTCACCTTCTCAGGACCAAACAAGATGATGCAGGTATGTTGTATTAATGAGAGTTGGCTAAAAAATTCAGCTCCAAGTCAATTAAATACTTTTATGCAGCAGACCTAAAGTTCTTTTACATGCATTCCTTCACTCAGGTTCACAATTTATCTGTGGGTGTGGATGTTAAGAACCCCACTGAATTTTCCTAGGGAATCCAGTAACTTTTCCATCAAGTCAGTATGACTGTAAAACCCATGCTCTCAGTCACTGCAGTGTACAGTCTTCTGGTGGAAGTTCTTGGGATAACTGAACACTTGAGTGTCTGGAGAACTTCTCATGGCAATAATATCCTCCATACCAAAGTCCTGTAAGCTAGAAAAGGAAAGAATGGAGATGCACTATGACAAATATGTCCAAATGGCTTCCAAAGGGTTTTGTTGAGAGAGATAAGAGAGATAGAAGGCTAAATTAGCCAGTTGCTCTTATCTCTTTCACCTCAAAAAGTCCAACAGCTAGTTCAATCCTCCATTCGTGCAATGGAAATGGAGACCAAGCTCTGAAACAGCATCAACCTCCTTCTGCTGAAAGACACGGATTTTTTCCACCCCTGACCTTTTAAGAGTTAAGCAAACTTTGGTTTACCAAATGTGAAATACATCCTTAAGATAACTGCAGATTCTTTAGGGAGTCCCAAAATTAAGTAATGAGTTCTTGTTCAATTCTAAACCTGCCTAGTAAGGAAATCAGGAGTTTGTGGTGTGCCGAGCCAAACTGCAGATACAGCAACTGACACTTCAGGCATCTGAAGGATTACTGGGCACACTTCAGCTGGAAATGCCATTCTTGAGTGGTCTGCCAGAAGTCTCCTGCTCCCAGTCAGACACGTGTCCCTCGTTAAAGAGTCATGGGAAGCACTCTCAGCAGCAGGTGCTTAGGAAAGATAAAGTGACACCACTCAACATTCATCTTCTTTGGGGGACACTCAATAGGTTAAACTGAAAAAGCTTTTAGGAAGCCAACCTCTGAGACCCATCTACACATCTGTGCCTCAAAGTGTAGAACACAAGTGGGTCAAAAATAGAAGTGACCCAGATGAGTACTGAGTGCCCTGCACAGTCATGTCAACCTCACCATCACCCTGAAAGGTAAGGGCAGATGCACAGTTCAGAAGGGAGGCTGGGAGAGATTCCAGCCCAGTGTGCAGGGTGCTGTCATCGATGACTGAAGGCCCACGCTCCTCCCTCCACAATGAAATGCCACTGCAGATCGGGGGCTGGATCAGCCTGACTCACTTTCATCTTGACTTCTCAGCACCACATATAAATAAATAAAATAAAGTCCACTGACAATTAAAAAATATTTTTTGAAAATAAAAAAAAAAGCCTACTTCTAAGTCTTGAAACTAATCATGTGTCAAAGTTTATAAACAATGGTTTATGCCAGTGCTGCATTTGGAGGAAGAGATGATTGGAATCGGCCAGTGGCCTCTTGGCTTTTTAGAAACAGGGCAAAAAGGCAAAACTCAAAGACTGTGGCAGAGTAGGAAGCTACATTTGTCACTTGCCTCTGTTCCCTACTGGGGTGTAAATCTACCCCACAGCCCCTCCAAACACACCAGGGCAAGATAAAGGGTAGAATGCCAGCCATGAAATAAGGAAGAGCCTGGAGAAGGAGTGCTTCCTTGAGCATGGAAGATGATTCAGATTTAGGGCTTGATGTGCAGTGGGATCTCAACAAACATGCTGAGCAGTTCCCAATAATGCACCTGATCAATATTCCTTCCCTGTTTCCACACTCG